TGGGATCTTTAATCCAGGCCCAAATTGTCCAATTGCTTTTACCATAGCTTTAAAGCTTTTCAAGCGGATGGTATTTAAGGGAATATCCGCTTGATACAACCACTTAGTAATACGTACACAAACTTGTTACCTCCCTTATTTATTATATGTTTCACTTATAGTGGTTTGCTTCATTCTTTTTTGTTCCTTCTCATCTAGCAGTGTAAAAGGCCTAGGACATGAATTAGAACTACCACCAACACCATGAACTTGTACATCATCATCTTTTTCAATTTCAATCATATTTTCATGATCATCAAAATCAGGGATCCTATCCCTTTCTTCCATCACACTGTTTTCTTTTACCGTTCTTTTCTTTTGCATATATGCCAAAATTTCTTTTTAACATTCCTCTTACCATCAACAATGTGCTCTTTTGCCCTATAGATTCCTTCATTGGTCACTTTTCCATAGAACTTGCAAGTGACTGAGTTTGTATTATTAGGGCCTTGTAGAGAGCAATACTTCCATGCTGGATCTTTCCTATTAATTTCACGAGAAGTATTGCCTTTATCCATATCTAGTTGTACAAAAAAAAGAGGAAAACTAAATTAATATTTAATAATCAATCAAAAATAAAAATATAGAATGAAACTAAAAGTCTAAAACTCTAAAACAAATTAACTAAGTGACTAACATAGCTGAACTGAAAATAAATTAATATTCAATACTTCAATTTATAACTAGAAGTTCAGAAAATAATATGCAACAAAACTGAACCAAAATAGAAGTTCAGGAATATTTGAAACAATCCATTCGCAGTTACTCCATCCACTTCTGGGATAGAGCCCTGTTTTCGTGTAAAAAAGTTTAGAAAAAAAAGGGGAGAAGAAGAAGAAGAAAATGGGGAAGGAAGAAATAAAGAAAAACTGAAAATCCAAAAAAAAAAAAAAAAGAATGGGGCAGAGCCCTGTTTTGCTTTTTTTAAATGAAAACATTGTGATAGTGGGGGTGTAAAAACATTGGCAGGGTGGACTGTGGAGCCCCTGCTTTTAATGTAAAAAGCTAAATCAAATATTGGATAAGAAGGTTGGGCGTAGTCCCTGTTTTAGTGTAAAACAGTGAAGGAAAGAAGAAGGGGGTGGAGCCCCTGCTTTCAATGTCAAAACAAGAAAGGAACAAGGGGCGGAGCCCCTGTTTTACTGTCAAAACAGAAAAGAATGGAAAGCACGAAAAGAAGAAGAAGAAGAAGAAGTACCTTGTTTGTGCCAAACTGCTGAAGGCCTGAACCTGATGATTGAAGAATTAGAATCCTGGAGGCTGCACTTGCCGTTCATCTAACAGTGAGAGATGGTCTGAACCTGATGATCGAAGAAGAAGAATCTGGAGGCTGAACTTGCCGTTTGACTGAGACTGTGAGAGTCTGAGAGTTTGAGATGTTTGGGTTCCTTGTTGAAAGCCTTGCATGGCAAGTTTTTTGTCTCTCGATATGGCATGTTTTTCTCTCTTTCAAACTTTGACATACGATATATGATATTTGATACATAAAAGGAAACAAACCATTCATGTACAATTATAATGATATATAAAGTTAAATTTAAAAATAAATAAAAAAACAATGGACAGCTTAAATAGGTGCTCGCCTGGGCCACCTGGTGCCTGGCCTGAGGCGCACGCCTTAGGCGTAGAGGTGAGTGCCTTTCTAAAGTCTGGCCGCCTTGACCCATGCGAGGCGCCTAGTCTGGAATGCTCCTCGCCTCTGTGCCTAGGTGCACCTTTTAAATCACTGATGGGCGATTAGCAAGAAATCAAACAATTGCTAGCGGCGATAATGGCACAATTGGAGAAAAATTCATTGGAAGGAAACCATGAGAATGAGAATGAAGAAGCCAGTCGAGAATCAAAAGGAAATAAATGAGACTCAAGAGCATCAATGAGAATGACCAAACTCAATTTCCCAAACTACTCAGGTGAAGACCCCATAGCTTGGATTTTTAAAGATGAGAACACCTAGTCACGTGGTGAGATAAAAAAAGCCACGTTGGTCAGTACCAAATTCTCTCATGTTTTCACTCAGCTTCTTATGCTGATGTGGCTTAACTAAGGAACTTTCTCCAATAGAATATTCTAGAATCCCATCCTAGGTTGTATGCAAGTTGCATGGCAGTGTTGGGGTACTGCCCAATACAGGCTCCTCTTGAGAGAGTGAGAGATGGGATTCAGTAAACTTCTTTATTATTCTCAGAGTACAAGACCTCTTTTTATATATCTGTAATAGTCATGTGACATTTTATTACAGCAAACCACTTGCCCCTTGATATCTTGATCTGTTCCTTGTAACTGAATTTTGATTAGTTGCCAACTGGTTCTTGGTTAGTTGTACTGAGCTGTCCCTAAGTTGGTTTCTTCCTTTTTCTTCTAGAATATACCTTCAGCCTATTGTTCATTCTTTTTGGGTCCCTAACAGCTCCCCCCTCCTTGAAATTGTCTTCGTCCTTGAGGTCCAGGTGTGGAAACTGGAGTGCTAAGTCAGTACAAGGTGTTCCCATGTGGCTTCTTCCGTAGGTAGCCCAATCCAACTGACTAGAGCTTCTCTAGAAAATGACTGACCACTTTTCTAGGAGGTAGCTTCTCCCTCGAAGAGGAGCCTGTGTTGGGCAGTACCCTAACACTGCCATGCAACTTGCATACAACCTAGGATGGCATTCTAGAGTATTCAATCGGAGAAAGTTCCTTAGTTATGCCAAATCAGATTAAGAAGCTGTGAGTGAAAACATGAGAGAATTTGGTACTGACCAACGCGGCTTTTTTGATCTCACAACGTGTCACCATCCTATGTTTTGCTGAGATTGTTGTGTCATTGTGTGTCAAGAAGCAAGGTTTGTTTTGGAGAGCATGACTGCATCTAGCATGTCTCACAATGCTGGCTTTGCATGCCCAAGATTGAGAGTCACAAGGTACTGTAGCAAGCTAGTGGTGTTGAGCATGTCTATGCTCTTACATAGGCATGATGGGAAAGAGAGACCTATCTATTATGCTAGTTGTGTGTTCATGGATGCTTTGAGAAACTATTCCCCTATGGAGCAACAATACCTCTCCCTTGTCTTTGCAGCCTAGAAGTTTAGTCTCTAGCCACACTACCTCTTAGGTCACAAGGTCTTGCTCATAGTCAAAAGTGACCTTATAAAATACTTTATAGACAGGCCACCTCTGTCAGGAAGATTAGTCAAGTGGTTGATGCAACTTAGTGAGTACTCCTTTGTTAAGGCAGTCCTGGACTTACCGAGATATGGTAAAGAAGATCAAGTGGCATCTAAGAGGTGTAACAATAGCTTTTCAGTGGGTTCCAAGTGCTGCTAATGGGATGGCAGATTCTCTAGCAAGGCATTGAAAGGGAGCAATTATTTTGGGCTCAGTTACTTTAGGGAGCAAGTGTTCACCTTCTCCTGTGGGTAAAGGATGGGTAAGGAGTGATTGTCTTGGGCTTAGTTGTTCTATCTGTTTTTAGGGGTACTCGTACCCCGGTTGTAATTCTCTGTATATTCTTGTTTATATTAATGAAATACTTTCTGTTATCTATCAAAAAAAATGTGAAGGTTTCTGCACAAAACGACTTGGCCATACCTGTAGGCATAGTCCACTTGCAACTAAAGAATGAGAAGAAAATTTCCTAGATATAAGCAAATAATGGACAGGAGATTAGTAAATTGTAACAAGTCTTGCCATTGGCCTTACAATGTGTGCATCAATTTGGGGATAAACATGAATTTAGTATTATTCTTTGTAATGTGTCCTAAGTGTTGATCTTCTCATGATACACCTTCCAGCAGGGGGTCCTGACTTTAGGAGGAACAGGCTTGCTTTAAACTTCTTTGACAGGGAAGGACAACTGAGGGAAAAGGGAGGACCTGGAGCCTTGTAGAGGGAGACACATGAAAAAGAACCCAATGGATGGGGAGTCCAAAGGAGTCCAAATATGCTTATCCAGTTTAGAGGGGTCCAGGTAAACATCATTGGGGACTTGCAACAGATTGATCACATTAAGACCTCCACAGTCCGTCAAACCTCTTCAAAAACCCAAATCCCAATCAAAGCCCTTAGGCGAAGAGGAGGATACAAATTTTGGAATTGGTTCTCTTTTAAGGTTGCAAGTAAAATACAGGGAGGGAAAAGGTCTTTAAGAGTAGAATTACCCATCCATAGGTCTTCTCAAAAAAGAATTTTATTCTCAAAACAAACATCATATCTGACAAAATTTAGAAATTTTGGAAGAATACCATGGATAACCTTCCAGGGGAAGTCCAAGGTAGCTTGATGTGATGAACCAGCATTCCAACTGTTATCCAACATCCTGTGAATGCTTACCACTACTTTATGCCACAAATTCTCATTATCAAGAGGTAACCTCCACAACCATTTTCCCAGTGGTGCTTCATTCAATGTTCCCAAATCACTAATTCCCACTCTACCTTGGTTCTTGCTCCTACACACTACCTCCCATCTCACCAAGTGGTCCTTTTATTCCTTCATCCAGTTTCTCAATTGAACCTATTTAACATTATATTTTGTCAACATGACCAATAAACCTGTAGTCCTGATTTTTTATCTTTATACCCCATTTTACACCGCATTACTCTTTCCTTGCTAGTATTGGCTTTATGAAATTCTGAATTATGCTTATCTATCAAAAAAAAAAAGGAAATTCTGAATTATTCTACAGCCACTGTCAACCCACTTTTCTCCATTGCAATTTTTATTTCAGTTTCTTTTGTTGTCAAGTGTCTGATATTTCTTGTTTTTTTTTTTTTGTTTTTTTCTTTGGGCGTTTGTTCATTGAGCATTTGACCTTGTTGGAAAGAAACTTTGCTATTCAAACTAAAAGCAATAGTGGTAGATCTGCAGCTTAACTCAACTTGTGCTCTATGTTAATCCAGTATCTTGATTTTTGATTTGCCCCAAGTAAAGCAACCTTTCTTGTCTTCTTTTTGTTGTACCTAATTTTGTATAAATGCTTATTCCAGTCAGCGAGCAGTTACTACAGCATTATGGTGCAACTTCCTTGTTTTCTCTCTCAAATTTGGGGTCTGGTTAGCAACTTCCAGTCATGTTATGTTAGCTGAAGTTGTGCATTCTGCTGCAGATTTTGCAAATCAGGTATTTTGTTACTGGTCATTGGGGCATTCAAAGCCCATCTTGTGTGGTGGAGCTCCTTTTGTTGAAAACTTGCAATTATTACTTGTGTAACTTAATGTCTTTATTTTAGTATTTTTTATGCAATAAAAATTGACATTGATTGTTTTATCTCTTTTCAAGCTTTAAAGAATTAATCCTGTTAATGCCTGTAGGCTCTTCTTGCTTATGGTCTGAGTAGCTCAAGGCGTGCTCCAGATGCTCTGCATCCGTAAGTCTTCTATCCTGAGCCTAACATATCCAACATGCTCTCTCTTTCCGTGCACTCGAATGCTTAATATTCAATTGTAATCTAAATTGTTTTGCATTTACTTTATTTTGATTGATGATAAGATCAAAAGGGTCTACGTATAATGCTCAACAGTATGACCTTTCTCACTTATAGGGTGGATGGGGGGTCAAAAGAGTCCTGGTTTTTGACAATCTCAACTTGTCCATCCTAGAAATCAAGGCTCTAGCCTCTATAATAAGGTGTTAGAATCATTGCAGGCTTGTCTACAACTCAACTCAAGTCAATTCAACCTTAATCCAACTATATGGTTGGCTACATGTAGGGATTGGGTTCAGATTGATGCCAACCCATGGCAAACCTGACCCATCGACATTTATAGCATTGGAACATTTGTACATATAGCCTTGATTGAGTACGGGCGTACTAATTCTGGGCTGGGTTGGATCAGGTTCAGTATCCCATTTTATTTAGTCCGATTGGGTTGGGTTCAGGTTGAGCCAAACCCATATTGACTTATACTGGATCAGATTTGCTCTGGAGAATATAGAAGCATAAATAGAAGTGTGTTTAGAAAGAGAGAGAGACTGAATCATGTTGGCCTCTAAATATTATAGATAATACTTTAGACTGACAGACAAAAGTATCTCCGTAGCTTACATGACATAGAGAAAAGCTGACATATTGGCCTCTAAATATTACAGATAATACCTTAGACAAACAGAAATACCTATGTAGTACATATGGTTTCTGACTTTCTAACAAAATAGGATTCAAATATGATCACCTAGGCTCATAGAAGCAGTTGATTTTTGAAACATGGCAGATTGGATTAAGAATTGGCACTTTATTTGTACTTTCATAGTTTTCTGTCTGTAACACGATTTATTCTGTGTTTCATGAAGGTGCTTAGTTGCTTATTAACATCTTTTTGACAGTTATGGTTATTCCAAAGAAAGATTTGTTTGGTCCTTGATATCTGCTGTTGGTATTTTCTGCCTTGGTTCTGGTGCCACAATTGTTCATGGGTTCCAGAACTTGTGGACATCACAGGTAAGAGCCCGACTGGATTCACTTTAATGTATGCTCTACAAATTTTGTTGCTAAATTTGCAGTTGTTCAAGCCTCTACTTCTTAATCATGGTTCTTCGTGAACGCCTTCTCACCTGTTATTTGATATCCACTGATTTATATAAGCATGTCTTGATTATAGCCCCCTAGCAATATTCAGTATGCTGCTTTGGTAATTGGTGGTTCGTTCATCATAGAAGGTATATATCGGAATTATGTTTTTTAGTATTTGCACGGCTCCAACGTTCCTTTAATTCTGGTTTTCCTCTTAGGTGCTTCTCTTGTTGTCGCTATACATGCTGTAAGGAAAGGTGCAGCTGCAGAGGGATTGAAGGTGTGGGACTATGTATGGCGTGGACATGATCCCACATCTGTTGCTGTTATGACGGAGGTAAATTTTCTAATGATAACAAATGCCATGCTTTTCCACTTGGAACTTGTCAAAGCGGGTAAGAACATCATTTCAAAGGGCCCTGCCATTTTTTCTGAACCTGAAACTTCAATCCAGGGAGAGGGACAGCCACCATAGAAGTGTACAATCATTACTTTTGTGAAAAGTAAAAATTGAATTTGAATTTGACTAAATAATTGAATATTCAATTCAATTCTAATTCGAGTGACTAATTGTTTTAGGCAATATATGTATATATATAAATATAACAAATATTTTATATTTTATTTATATAAATTATTTAAATTTATCATCACAATCATCATCAAGCCTTATCCTAACTATATGGGGTTGGCTATATGAATCCTGTTTTTCCATTCCGTTCTGTTTAATGCCCCATCAACTTGCAAAAAATCACTTCCTCTTCAGGTGCACCAAACCATGTTGATCTACTTTCTCTCATTTTATCACTTGTTGGAGTTACACCTAAATTCCTTCTAATGACTTCATTTCTGGCCCTAGTGTTATTTGTATAATGAATGGTCAATGGTTCAAGGCTCTGTATGTACAGGGGTAAGGCTGTGTACATCTGTCCCTCCCCAGATCCTGCATTGGTGGGAGCCTCGTGCACTATGCTGCCCTTTGTTGTAGATATACAGTTGCCAGACTCTTTGCATTGCCCTGTGTGGAAAACTTTGGAAGCACTCTGACTGTCATCTCTTGGACCTCTGCCATTGTAAGGGGGGCATCAGAAACTTCACCGTCACCTCTCAGGCCTCTTATTATCAATTAATGTCTTGGGAAGTGAAGTCAATAGTCAAGTCGTTGGGATAAGTTTTGTGGTGTTTTATATAAAATTCTTGGTCGGAAGGAATTTATCTAAACTTGGGTAACACAAAGGAAATTGATGTAAGTCTAGAGTCTTCGTAGGGAGTTTGTTGAAGATTTAGTCAGTTTTGTGTTGTTTTAGGAGTAGTTGTTTTATGTTAACTGTTAGATAGGAAGTGGGGACCACAACAGTTATGTTGGGTCCATTATTTATTATTTATTTAAGTATTTTATGTGCTTTTTAGTGTTTGCCGCCCTATAAGGGCATATTAGTAATTGTACTCTTCTTATATTTCTAATATAAATATTAAGTGAAGGGGGCGACAAGACATAGCTCTCTTTTCTTTCTCAAGTTCTCCTTCTCTTCTTCAAGAAAATACTTTTTTTTTTCTTTCATAGTTTTTTAATTCAACGGATTTCTACTTGGTATCAGAGCTTCGGCTAGGGTTCTTGGAGTTTTCTCATGTAGCCCTAGATCAGCTGACTACATGAGGTGATAAAGGGCTGATTGATCTATTACAAATTGCCCAGTTCTTGGATTTTTTGGTGGGATCTAGTCATCAGGAAGGTGATCTACTTTTTGGCATCAAAATCATGAAGAACTGGAGTACGTGGAAGAGTCCTAGAAAAGCTGGATTCTTGATTTTGATATGATCTTGGGCGCTCAGGTATCATTGGATTTATCTTGTTTTTTTGTAGGGGGCGGTTAGGTTTCTGGAGTTTTTTGGGCCTCTTGGAGTGTCCTATTCACTTTTCTCTATCGTGGGAGACAGTGGGAGGAGAGAGATTTCTCTCCGGATAGGGTTTTCTTCTTCTAGAAGGGTTTGCTCCTTTGTGTGTGAGATCGAATTGCTCTTGGAGTCTCTCAACCTATTTTTTTTTTTTTTTTACTGTTGAATTGTTTGAAGTAAGATGGAGAGTTGGAGTACCAAGCTGAAATCCATTGGTACCATGGGACCGGGCGTTGGAGGTAGTAGTGATATTTTTGGGTTTGGAATCATTACTACAGTGAAGCTTGATGGTACAAATTATTTAGAATGGGCACAACCAGCCAAGATGGCTATTGGTGCCCATGGAAAATTAGGGTACATCATTGGGGAGGAGAAGAAACCTGATACAGATTCTTCTCGATGGGTATAAGAGAATTACATGGTAATGTCTTGGCTGTATAATTCTATGTTACCTCACATTGGCAAAATTTTCTATGGGCTAATACTGCAAAGGAAATTTGGGATCAGTGTTTTAAAAGCGCAAGGCGCAAGGCGAGGTGCTCGCTTTTTCAAGAAAGGCGCAAAACTACAAAAAAATAGCTAAAAAATAAAAAAAGGTCAAAAAATTAAAAAAATGTCAAAAAATTTAAAAAATGCAAAAAATTCAAAAAAATTGAACATAATGTTAATAAAAAATATAAACACAAATTTTAAAATAAATGTTTTAAAAAACCAACTATCTAAAATTAAATACATAAACATAACATGTAAAGCATTTCCAAGCATGTAAAACCCATAATCTCTTTTGTTCCTTAATTGCATTGCTTCAAGTAGCTAATGTGATGTAAAACATATTGCATTCTTGATTATATGAGTTGCCTTTGTACCATACCCCTCGAGGCAAGCCTGAACAAGTCTATGTTAGGGTTTGAAATTCTTATTTCTCACATGAAAAATAATGATTTTATAACTTTATTTGCCTTTTACGAAGATATTTTATTGGAATGAATGAATGAACAACATTAACAAATAGGGGGTTCTTGGAGCTTCGGTGAACGAGTGAATAAGAATTTCAAACCCTAACATAGACTTGTTCAGGCTTGCCTTGAGGGGCGTGGTCGGGGGTCCAGGGGTGGAGCCCCCGACCCAGCCATTAGACTCAAAAAGAGGTAAAAAGCGCAAAATTTTAAAAAGGTGCATGCCTAGGCTGGGGCATACGCCTAGGCGCACAAGGTGCATGCCTTTTGAAAGGAGCGCACCTAGGACTTGAGCGAGGCACATACCCCAAAATGCGCCTTGCTTATGCGCCTAGGCATGCCTTTTAAATCATTGTTTGGGATGGAGTGGCTGAAACCTATTCTCAGAAGTAGAATGTAGCCAGAGTTGTAAATGATGCATTAACCTATCAGAAACTGGTTGAGAAAAATAGGGCTTTTGAGTTCTTGGTAGGGTTAAACCCTGAATCTGACATTGCTAGGCAGCATATCCTTTCTAGAGAGAGTGTGACACTCTCTCAAGCCTATGCCTTTGTTTCTAGAGAGGAGAGCAGGAGGAATGTCATGCTGAGACAACCTGGGATTGACCAGTTTGCTATGGTTAGTACAACCATACCTAAGCCAAATGGAGACAGGGGGAGCAGTGAGACTAGGAGGGAGGATAAGAAGGACTTGGTGTGTGATTATTGTAAGAAGCCTAAGCATACTGGAGACACTTGCTGGAAGCTCCATCACATATAATACCTACTCGGATCAAGAACAAGAAGGGAAATGCAAATGTGGCCACTACAAGAGACTCTTCGGTCCCCCTTCCCAAACTAATTGGGAGTCCATTACAGTAGCAACAGTTAGAACATAATTGGAGAGGTTTGGACAGTTTATGAGTAAGAAAGATGTAACTAGTTCTAGCCCTTCAGATGGATAACAGAGTGCAGGAGTCAACTACGCCACTTCTTTTGCTTATATAGGTAGTTCATATGCAAATGCAAATTTTGCATCCACTTCAGGTAAGGAGGGACCTCTCTGGATTATAGACTCAGGAGCATCTGAGCACATGACTAATGTATTTACTCTTTTCAGTTCTTATCAGTTGTGCTTTGGTAGAGACAGAGTCTCTACAGCATATGGTTCACATATTCCCATTGTTGGGAAGCGGACAATTAGAGTGACCAATGGCATTACTTTATCTTCTGTCTTACATGTCCCTAGACTTCATACCAACCTTCTTTCTGTTAGTTCTTTGACAAAAAAATTGAATTGTTCAATGACCTTCCTGGTAATTGTGTTTTTGTAGGATCTAGTGTCAAAGAAGATTATTGGGAGTGGTCGTGAGTTGAATGGAGTCTACCTTTTGGATGAAAGCCAGTAAGTCAGGTTATGCTCTGGCATAATCGGTTGGGTCATCTTTCTTTTACTTCATTAAAATTCCTTTTTCCAAAGTTGTTTGAGTCTGTCCAATTATCTACCGTAGAGTGCGAGAATTGTCAGTTGGGAAAACATTGTAGACATTCTTTTAATCCAAGTAATAAAAGAAGTGCTTTTGCTTTTGATGTTGCTCACACTGATTTATGGGGACCATATCATATTCCTTCCATGGGTGGCTACCATTATTTCCTCTTGTTTGTGGATGATTATACACGGTATTCTTGGACATATTTGATGAGATCCCATGATGAGGTTCTTAACTTGGTACGATAGTTCCATCAGATGGTTCTCACACAATTTGGAGTGAGAACTAAGGCCTTCAGATTAGATAATGCCAGAGAGTATTTTGAGAAGGACATCACCACATATTTTTTGGAACATGGTATAATCCATTAGAGTAGTTGTGCATATACACCGCAATAGAATGGAGTAGTAGAGAGAAAAAAATAGACACATTGTGGAGGTGGCAAGAAATTTTGTGGTGTATGATTCAGTTCCTATTCATTTTTGGGGAGATGCAGTTCTTATAGCTGTACACTTGATTAACCGTGTTCCTTCATTTACCTTGGGGTTTAAGGTACCATTCAGTCTTCTTTTTCCAGATGGGGAGATGTTTCACATACCTTTGAGGGTTTTTGGGTGTGTTTCCTTTGTTCACATTCTTGGCCCCCAACGCAAGAAATTGGATCATAAGGCCAAGAAATGTGTTTTCCTTGGGTGTGCTCAAGACCAGAAAAGGTATTGTTGTTATGACTTTGTGTCAAGGAGCAAATTTGTTACTATGGATGTTACTTTTTTTGAGTCTACCTTCTTTTTCTCGAGTGGTTCTCCTTAGGGGGAGCTTGGGGAGGAGAACTCACAATCTGTTCCTCTTCCTGTTTCCTTTGTGCCCCCAGTTTTTCTATCAACACCTCCATCAGTTCCATTACCTGAGCCATTACGGGCAGCCTCACAACACTATCAGTGCCGCCAAACGATGGTTGACTCCACACATGCTCAACCAGTAGAACCTGCACCACTCTCCATCATTCCTTCTTAGGCTCCAGATTCAGTAGATACAGTTCCAGGTATTCCCCTTGAGTCTGAGCTTGTTATTTTTTCTGATGATAATGTTCTTGTACCTAACACTATTGTTGCAGCTAATCCCATTGACTTTGATCTTCCCATTGCACTTTGCAAAGGGAAGAGAAAGTGTATAGCCCATTGCATTTCACACCCTCTCTCCTATAGTGCCTTATCACCCTCTTATCGAGCTTTCCTTTCTTCCATGGATTCTGTGTCTATACCTAGGAATGTTACTGAGGCTCTCTCCAAACCTGAGTGGAAAACAACAATGCAAGAAGAGATGGAAGCTTTGGTTAAAAACTAAACTTGGGAAATAGTTGATCTTCCTCTAGACAAGGAGATAGTCGGATGTAGATGGGTGTTCACTGTGAAGTACAGGGCCGATGGCAGGAAAGATAGGTACAAGGCAAGGTTGGTTGCAAAAGGGTATACTCAGACCTATGACATTGATTATCTAGAAACCTTTGCACCGGTTACTAAGATGAGTTCAGTCCGTATGCTCGTCTTTAGCAGCCACCTATATTCATGGCCCCTATTTTAGCTTGATGTTAAAAATGCATTCCTCAATGGTGATTTGTAGGAGGAGGTATATATGGACATTCCAATATGTTTTTATGAAAATGTTGGTAAATGAAAGGTTTGTAAATTGAGAAAATCATTGTATGGCCTGAAACAATCACCTAGGGCTTGGTTTGACAGGTTCAGAGGGGCACTTATCTGTTTTGGGTACACACAAACCCATTCTGATCACACCCTCTTTGTGAAAGGAGCGATGCACTTGTGTCAATTCTGATTGTATATGTGGATGATATAATGGTTATAGGAAATGATCTAAAGGAGATTGATGCTCTCAAAAAATCATTGTAGCAAGAATTTGAGATCAAAGATTTTGGTGAGTTCAAATACTTCATGGGGATTGAGGTTGCAAGATCCAAGCATGGGATCTTCATTTCACAGAGAAAGTATGTACTAGACCTACTACGGGAGACTGGGAAGTTGGGAACCAAACTAGCTGACACTTCTATTGATCCAAATCATAGAATTAGTGTTGTAGATGGTGAGTTGGTAAAGGATGTGGGGAGATATCAAAGAATGGTGGGCTGACTGCTATATTTGTATATGACATGCCTAGATATTTCTTATGCCGTCAGTGTTGTGAGTCAGTACATGCATGCACCTCGGGTTCAACACTGGGAAGCTATTGAGAGAATACTTGCATACCTGAAGAAACACCTCGACAGAGGTATCTTTTTCTCAGATCATGAAAATCTGAAGCTGGAATCTTATACAGGTGCAAACTGGATAGGCTGTTTAGATGACAAGAGATCTACATCAGGAGTATGTACCTTTATAGGTGGAAACTTGATCTCATGGAAGAGTAAAAAACAGGCAGTTGTGGCTAGGTCAAGTGCAGAGGCTGAATATAGATCCATAGCTCATGGTGTCTCAAAACTACTTTGTGTTAGATCCCTATTGAGCGAGATTGGGGTAAAAGCAAAGGAATCTATGATGCTATACTGTAACAATCAGTTTGCAATCAATATTGTCCACAATCCAATCCAGCATGACAGGACAAAACACATTGAAGTTGATAAACACTTCATAAGAGAAAGGACAACAACTAGAGAAGTTTGCTTGCCTCATGTCTCTTTAGAGTTGTAGTTGGCTGATGCCCTCAATAAAGGGGTTGCAAAGAATAAGCTTGAACATAATTTACACAAGTTGGGAATGTGTGACATTTACTCCCAAGTTGAGGGGGAGTGTTGAAGATTTAGTCAGTTTTGTGTTGTTTTAGGAGCAGTTGTTTTATGTTAACTATTAGATAGGAAGTGGGGACCACAACAGTTATGTTGGGTCCATTATTTATTATTTCTTTAAGTCTTTTATGTGCTTTTTAGTGTTTGCTGCCCTATAAGGGCATATTAGTCATTTTACTCTTCTTATATTTCTAATATAAATATTAAGTGAAGGGGGCGGCAAGACATAGCTCTCTTTCCTTTCTCAAGTTCTCTTCTTCTTCTCTCTTTCTTCTCTTCAAGAAAATACTTTTTTTCTTTCATAGTTTTTTAATTCTGCAGATTTCTACTGAGTTCATATACATGGGTCTGAGAATCCATTTGTAGTCAGTCATCTATAGAATTGAACATGGCATTCTTGAATTTATTGAAGTTCTTGCTTCCTTGTTTCGTCCAGCAACCATAATCATCTTCTTTTCTATTATACTACTTAGCTTTTATATTATTTCTTCTTGCAAGATACGGTTTACTGTTGATTTGCTTCCAAATCTTGGATTCCTGTGGTTATTCCTGATGTTAAGAATGGAGTCAAAATATGTCCTTTAAATTAGTTGGATTAGTTGATATATAATGCTTTATTGTGACGAGTCTATTGCTTCTGGTTCATCAATTATGTTCCTCCTAGTCATGTTATTGCTTAGAATGTATTTGGCGTTGATTACTATATTGATCTCGATTTTGCAGGATGGTGCTGCAGTGACTGGGCTTGCTATTGCTGCAGCATCATTGGTGGCTGTCAATACTACAGGAAATGCAATTTATGACCCCATAGGATCTATTATTGTTGGAAACATACTTGGAATGGTATCATTATCTGTCCTGAAGTGTTTCTTTGTTTCTTTCTTTTCTCCTATAGGTGGCCTCTACTAATTTGAATTGCATTTTTCTTGTCTATAACTATTGGTATAAAGAAATGAAATTAAAGTGTAATGACTCATTATCTTCTAGTTCTAGTTGGTGGGGAAAATCTTATTTTATCCCCCTAATGGTCTCTTGTTAAACATGATTCTTTGTAGTTTCATGGGTCTTGAGTGTTTGATTTTGTACTTTCAGCACTGCCAGAATTTCCTTGAATATTTCCCTGCTTTTTCTCCCAACTATTGATATACATTTGCAAAATATTCTCATTTTAATTAAAATTGTTTATTATAAAAAACAATATTGAAATTGTTTGTGTGTATGAACTCAAATTGCATTGCAGGTTGCTATTTTTCTCATTCAGAGGAATCGACATGCTTTAATTGGTAGAGCAATTGATGATTATGATATGGAAAGGGTTCTTCGCTTTCTGAAAAATGATCCAGTGAGATTCTTACTCATAGTTCTATTTACTCTTGCTTTGTTGATTAATTTTACAAGATCAACTAATATTTCTCCATTGCAGGTTGTGGATGCTCTTTATGATTGCAAAAGTGAGGTGATTGGGCCTGGATTCTTTAGATTTAAAGCAGAAATAGGTAAACTTTCCTACTTGTCTCTGATTAATAGCGGCAGTAGAAGACTTTTGATACAGCTTGTATTCTTGTAAACTCCAGTTAACTTGTGACACACAGTTTGGTAAAAATACCCTTTAAACCTGGTCTTCTAAAGTTCTAATTCATATGTATTATACATTCTATGATTCCATAGAAGAAAGATTTGCTTAAACTATCAGCATATATTTATATTTATGCTTGTATATGTATAAACTAGTGTGGTACATACATTTAGTTTATACATGTATAAATATGCAAAAGTTGACACATTGAATGGGCTTGCTTGGAAGCCCTTGCATGACCATGACCTAAGATGAGGATAACGATGGAGTGAATGGAGCAAAACCCTTCTTAGAATCTCAACTTACATTATTGAAAATGTTTCATTGATAATGTACACACAAAAATATTGGTTCATTCAGTTGTCAACTTTTCACATTTTGGAGATTCTTCTGGTCTCACGGTGATTTGATTGTGACTTGTATTATGCAAACAGATTTCAACGGTGTGGTGGTGGTACAGAATTATCTAAAAAGGACTGGGCGTGAAGAATGGGCCAGACAGGTTGTTTGTTAATCCACAGTTACCCAAATTCTATTTCTTGCATCCGTAAGCCAAAAGCTAGTTGCAAATCCATCACATGATGGATCAAGTCAAGTCTATGAAGTGCCAATTTCCCACCTGCAATCTACAAAGACTACAACTGTTACGAGTTCATAATTTTGGGAATTGTTGTTTATGGTCAATACAGTAAGATTATCTTAAAAAAGATTTTAAAGAGGTAGTAACAGAATTCCTAGAGAATGTGGTGAACAGTGGTTTTCAAAGTTATTCATCAAAAAAAAAAAAACAGTGGTTTTCAAAGTTTTCTTTCTAAAGGGAATGCAATTTATTCTTTTAAAGCAAAACTCCCAACCCTGGGATGTCAAACAATTTAATCTATAAATATTGCAGAATAGCTCCATGTGGCTCCACAAGTGTAAAGATCTCCTTTGGTGTTCAAATCCAATTTGGGGTCAAATGATCCAAGACCTTGGTTGATAGTGTCTCAACATACAAAGTCACTAAACGTCCTCCCTTGCTTTCCCTAAGCCTTAGAGGAGCATCTTGGGTGTATACAGGTTCTCCCTACAGTCTTAAGTCCTTTCAAGAGTAGGATTCAATTTCTACTTCAAATATGTCTTAATTGACTCATTTAACTCAACATAGAGAACTCTCTTCTATATTTTTAGACTTGTGTAAGTCTTAATTTGAGATATATGGGGATCACAAGGTTTCCTAATCCAACACTCAAATGGAACTTGAGATAAAACCCTAAAATCCATTGATACATTTCACAGGAAATCAATCTTTGACATTGATTGGCTTGTTTGGGACCCATAAAGTTCCCCGATTGATAACCCAATAGTGATTCACCTTTGTATCTTTCTTTTCTGTTGGCATGCACTTATGTAACATTGTTTTTTTTTGCCATTGCAGTATTTTCATGCATGTTGGTGCAGGAGTGCTTGAATACATTTTCTCATAGGTGATGGTGCATATGATGCATCTAACAGATGTGCCAGTCCAAGTCAGATTTAGATCATAGAATTCTTTTTACAAGAGAAGTGGTCATCCAGTAAGTCAAGGTGCTCCTGTTGTGTATATTCGAGCACTCCTGCACCATGCTATAATCATACCATGGTTTATAACAGGACCATCAACCAACAGCTTATGCGAAGTTTACCTTTTCATAAGACCATTAGTGATCTTATAATGGTTCATATGCCCTAATTTTTTTATGATGAAAGATTGAAAATGAAGTTGTGGAAGTGGTTTATAGTCATATAAAAGTGAAACCCGTGTTCAAAGGTTGACCTAGTGATGTAGGAGCTGAAGAGTCAAAATTGGAATTTTATGAAATTTTGTATTTTTGGACAGTAGGGGTATATCTGTCATTTTGAAATTTTTTGTGGGGTCCAACGATAGGGTTTAATTTGTCTAGCTAGAGTTTGTTTATGTTTAAAATTTCAGAGTCATTGCATAAGTAGGATTAGAGTTATTGAGTCTTCTTTGAATTAAAATAGGATATGACAACTTAGTTTGAGTCCTACTAGGATTATTGAGTTTAATAATTTGACTCCTAAGACTATTATGAGTCTAACAGTTTGACTCCTAGGATTATTATGAGTTTAGAGTCTATAAATATGTATGGACGTTTTACACAAGGCAATGAATTATATTGAGTTTTCTTCACCTTATGCTAGCTATGGCGAGTGATTCCCATGCCCTAGAGTGATTATAGGCACCCTGTGAGTGATTCCAGGTATTTTCTCTCCTTTCCCTATTTTTTCTCTTATTCCTTCAAGAAGCCATTACAGCCATAAAACTCTAATCAAGAAGACCATTCAACATTCTCTAAGGACTAGAACTGAGCTGGTCCTACATCAGTTTAGTATCAGAGCTAATGGTTTATTCACTATATTCTCACAAAGTGGTCGATTCTATAGGCCTAGGGTATCTTCTAGACAATCTTATAGGTCTAGAATCAATGATGATTGGGTTTCTGAACCATATGAAGAGGGTCTTTGGTTGACTTATTTGAGAAGACTAGTATTTGTGTACGTGTTTTGCACATGATAAATTTTGTGATGATTATGGTATATAATATATTTCCAATTTTTTTATATTTCCACATCTATAAAAATTATTCTTATTTATCACATTTATTATGGTTCATTAATATAAAGATATATCCAAATAAAATTCTTGCAATGGTAACTAGAATTAATAAAATTCTTGTTATTCTTATTTATCATTAATAAAATTCTTATTATTCTTATTTATTATGGTTCATTAATAAAATTAATAATTTTTATTGGTTACCTTCGTTAGAATTTTTTTTTTGAATTCTCGTTACCTTTGCAAGAATAACTTCTATATGATAAATCCAACTTCAGCTCCTTCAACCATTGAAAACCTTACAATGAACTACTATAAAAAATATTACTTACTCGTGCAAATATTTTGCCATCCATTGATGTGGGCTTTAAGATAATGGAAATGAAAAATTAACCCACCATATGGTGGGATTAAAGAAGAGAAAATCATCTATTACCTTAATGATCAAGAACTAAACCAATGAAAACAGGTTAGAAATTTAAAAAATTCAAGAAAATAGTTTAAAGAATAAATTGCTCATCCATTTGCAAGTTGGAAATCTCTTCATGGGCGTTAATGCGATGTAACATTGGCTATTGAGAACATAAGATGTACTTTCAGTTTTCTTTCTTTCTTTCTCTTTTTTTTTTTAATTTAAATAAATGAAAGGGTAATTTGCTAAAACCTCCCGTAAAATTTTTGATCATTGCTGACCCCCCTAAAGTTTGGTAAATGCAATCACCTCCCATGAACTTTTTGACACAATTGCAATTAGACCCTCTGTTAGAATCTTCTTACAAAAAGCACATAAATGTCCAAAATACTCATGTAGTTACTTTTAACAAAAATGTTTATTTTCCAATTTCTTCATACTAATCACCACCTCAATCCCTTGTAATCTCTTTTTTGGAATTGATGTATTTTCCAAATTTGCCCTTCATATCAATTGCTCAAAGGGAAAATTGCATCTTTAAACTCTCTTTTTTGTTGTTCATAACATTTATATTGTTTTTTATTTATAAACCAGCCTTAATAATAATTACATGGGTATTTTGGATCTTACAAAGGGGGTCTACTTGCAACTGTGTCGAGAATTTTAGGGGAGGTGATTGCAATTACTAAACTTCAAGGGAGGTTTGGGCAATGATCAAAAACTTCAAGGGAGATTTCAATAATTATGACAGTTTGTTTTCCAATTATTGATAAAAAAGAGGGATTTTTGTGCATTTTCCCTAACAAACATTAAATGGGAATGTTAAATAACATTATTGCCATTGACTTTTTTACAATTATGAACAAAAAGAATGGAGTTTTGTGTCTTTTTTGTAATAAGCATTAAATGAGAAAGAAGAGTCATTTCCTAATAAGCATCAAATGAGAAAACAAAATTACATATTTACCATTACTCCTTTTCTGATTCAAACCTTAGAGATGGGGTATTTTAGTCTAGTGAAAATTCCAGAAGCCAATCACATGTATTCATACTTTTATAGATAATATAGATGGTGGAAGAAAACAGGTCTAATAATGTTGGCTACGGGAGCAAGGTTTTCAAACATGTTAGAAGAGAAAGGGAAATACCGGATTTCAAAGGAGATGATGATCCACAAGCATTTTTTGATTGGGTTGCTGAAGTAGAAGACTATTTTAATTGGTATGATATGCTTGACAAACAAAGGATTAGATTTGCACGCATGAAGCTGACGGGTCATGCTAAAGTGTGGTGGAGAGCAATGACCAGAAAATAGAGGCGATGATCCAATTAGTACATGGGCTGAGATGAAGAGGTGTTTGCAAGAAAAGTACATCCCACTAGATTTCAATGATGGGCTATATATGGAGTTGACTAATTTCAAGCAAAAGAAGCAGCAAGTTACAACAAAGAACTTGAAGTCAAGGGGAAGAAGGTACAAAGTTGAAAATAAAGTAGATGATTCCTTGCATGTTGATGCCTATCCTATATGTTAGAAACCAAGACCGAGCCAGTAAACCAGTTATCAAACAAGTATACTCAAGGAGAAAAGCACATGGGGTAAAAACAGCTAGGCAAGATCCATCTGTACAAGAGACAAATGGCAATCTTGATTCTTAATTTCTTGATTTGTTACAACTACTAACTTGTGCATCTATAAATACAAGGCAAAGTAATAAGAAAGCTATGAAAGATTCAACCTAGAAATCTCAATGTTCTCTCTCCCCTCTCCTAATTCTTCTCTAAGAGATCACACTATCTCGAATCAGTGTTTGTGTTGGGCAGAAACCCAACAACTGGTATCAGAGTCAATGCCAAGCACGCGATCTAACTCCATGGAAGACAGGGTTGACCAGATGGAGATCGGCTTACACTAGGTCACCATCAACTTCCAAAATATCAAGGAGTCGTTGAATGCCATACTGGCTCAGACTGGGAGGAGTGCCATTGACAGTAACCTGAAAGGCGATCAAGAAGTCACTGGTCGAGAACAAAGACAGATCAGCACTCGATTGGGAAAACTTGACTTCCCAAGGTACTCAGGTAACGATTCAGTCCCTCGGATTTTTAAAGCTGAAAGTTACTTTGAGTTCCACGAGACACCCAACAACCAATGTGTTCTGATTGCTTCGTTCCATTTAGAAGATGAAGCCGTTGTATGGTTTCAATGGTTTTAGCGTTCCCACCCTCAAGTTTCTTGGGCAGACTTCACTGAGGCTTTGTGCATAAGATTTGGACCCATCGGGTTCAAAAATCATGATGAAGCCCTGTCCAAAATACGCCAAAGGGGTGCTGTCCAGGAATACCAACATGAGTTTGAGAAGCTGGCAAATCGTGTACAAGGGTGGCCTGAAACTACATTGCCTGGGAACTTCATCGGGGGCGTGTGTGACGACATCAGAGTCGAAGTGAAGAGCATGCAGCCCTCCTCTGTTATGGCGGCCGTGCAAGA